GAATGTCTCAGTACTCTGTCAGTTTTGTGCCTAGTTGTTGCACTTTCTGACTGTATATAGTATCTAGTTACAGTGATGGAAGAGTTACTCTTAACTCGTTTCCATATGTCCTTTTCCTTTCTACTTTTATTATTGGCTCAATACCCGAGTTTCAAATTATTATTATTATTATTATTATTCTCAATTCATGGATGACATGGTGTCAACCAATATTATGAATGAGGGCTACCAGCCATGGAATAAAAGAACAAGAAGGCAAAAATGCACACGCAAAATATGGCAAGTTAAATGAGAATAAAAATGAAATAAAAGTAAATCAATCCAAAACCCAAATGAATTGTACAGGTAGCATATATGTGATTTACTTTGGAGCTTGAAGTAATACACAAAGAGAATTGAAATCAATGATTAGTAAATGAAGATCGGCGTACGTGTATATTTATCAAGCTTAAAAGCGCATTGAGGGTGTTGCTGGACTTTAATTGCTGAGGAAGAGAATCCCATAATTGGTATGCTAGGAATACAGGCGATTTGCTCATAGAATTGTTTCTTGCAATCGGGAAACGAAGCGAGTTCCGGCTTGTTGAGGATTCATTGAACCAGTTTAAGGAATGCTGCACATGCTGAGGGGCAGTGAAAAGTTTGATTTTGTGAATGTATACGCAGGAGGGTTGGCCAATGTAATGTTTCAGAGGAAATGTACAGCAATTTTCATAGAGAACGGCTATGTTGGTCTCGGGCGGCAAACGAAGTATTGCCCGGAGAATCCGTCGATGCACAATCTCCAGCTTTGCAAAGAGGCGATTACCAGCGCCACACCACACCACACAGCAATACAAGAAAATAGGCAAAATGTATGTATGATAAAAGGTCTTTCGGCATTCTGGTGAAATGTGGGGGAGATGGCCATAAAGAATACCGACGACTGAGCTTGCCCGCTTTTCCAGATTCCGGAAATGGTGGGACCAGTCCAATTTGCTATCAAGTGTAACGCCAAGGTGCTTGTGACGAGAGGTTATAGGTTAGAGGTCGTGTTCCAACACTAGAGGAACACGACCTCCATGTCAAAATGGTATTGGAGCGTCTTGAATCGGCTGGTCTGCGCTTGAACCGGGACAAATGTGTGTTTGGCCGTTCATCTGTCACTTTCCTCGGCCACATCATTGATTCAACCGGAATAACGCCGACAGCTGAGAAAATGCAAGATGTGCTGGACGCCAAGGCACCAACTAACGTATCGCAGCTCAGAAGCTATTTGGGCTTGATCAACTACTATCACAAGTTTGTACGGAACTTAAGTACTGTGTTCAAACCCCTGTACGAATTGCTTTCCAAGAAGCAGTGGCGTTAGTCTGACTGTGAACAGTCTGCTTTTGAGGAAAGCAAAGCTATGCTACTAGAAGCACCATGCCGTGTGCATTGCGACCCGAAGCTGCCAATTGTCGTCAGTTGTGATGCGTCACCGTATGGTATTGGTGCCGTTCTCTCACACATCACTGCGGATGGAGACGAGCATCCAGTCGTGTTTGCATCGAGGACATTGCCATCAGCGGAACAGAAATATGCACAGATCGAGAAAGAAGGCCTGGCTATGGTGTTCGCCGTCAAGCGCTTTCATAAGTATTTATTTGGCTGCTTGTTTGTGCTGCAGACTGACCACAAGCCTCTACTTGGTCTATTTCAGGAAGATCGTCCGATTCCGCCGATGGCCAGTGGTTGCATCCAATGCTGGGCCCTACTACTAGCAAGCTATGACTACCAGCTTCAGTTCAAGTCGGGCAGCAACAATGGTAATGCTGATGTACTCAGTTGGCTACCCAGGGGCGTACATAGGGCGGTTCCCGGGATGCCCGGGAACCAGTAAAATAATTTCGATGTGGATACGGAGAATGTTTTTGATCAAGGCCCAGCGTGCATGCAGTGCATGCATGCCTTGGCGCCTGCAGTCCGCCTGACAGTGCGACGACGCGACGTCGACGGTGACTAGACAAGGTGTAAAAGTGCTGCTGAGGCATTTTTTTGTGACACAGCGTAGATCTACTGAACTTACTGGGTGCAACAAATTCTCTACAATACGAGTTACATCGATTCCTCGATCTCAGAGTCATTTCCTTTGCAGTTTGTTTCGACAAAGCTGGTTACGTTTTTGACGATGCTTTCGCTTTATGGAAAAGAAAAATGAAGAGTCGACATCCAGAGGGCCAGCGCTCTATTCAGAGCTATTTTGAGCAGGAGGCAAAGCGTGTAGCCAGTGACGAAGGTCAAGCGATAGATGAGATTGCGGCCGCACCTGACTTTCAAGTGGAGTCTGCAACGAGCAGCACAGAGGACGGAATCGTCGGCGAAGCTGTAGAGCAGCCGTAGTTGGAAGCTGCTGGATCATCCAAGACTTACTTCAGTGACATTGGAGTGCGTTGGAAAGGATATTCTGAAAGTGTACTTCCACGGTGGAATCCCTGATTTCTCCGAAATTTGCCTGACATGGAAAAGATTTCCATCATTGACAATCATTGTGCGCCACTAGCTGCACTGAATTGAAGGCGAAGGATTTCGTTTCCTGTGCGTGCCCAGACGGGTGGCAAACAGTGCCGCTTTCAACTATCCTTGTTTGAGGAGTTTCCCTGTGTAGTCGTTTGACCGGCGTGCCATGGTGGCATTTGCTTGCCCTGTGTAATGTTTGCTCCAGGTGATTCGAAGTTTGGGCAGCTTTACCGCAGTCCTCCCGAGAATATAACCCGACTCAAGACTGAGCGTGTGGATGTGCTTCAGCGACTCGTTTCATGGCATAACATGAAATCGTCCTGCTGAACAAAACATCCATAAAAATGCCTTGGCAAAGTTCAGTCTTTTTAAATCAAATATGCGTAGCAGTGACATTATCCAGCAGTTTTTGCAGAAACTTCGTCGGATACGTATAAGAGCACTAGCCGTGTGGAATTATGTTGGTTGATCAGTTGGCATGGGAACCACTCCTGGTGGCGAGCGGTGTACGCCCCTGCTACCATCACCCTCATTGGTACCAGAAGTCCCAACACCGGCCGAATTCGTTCTGTCGATGTCTGTCCTAGAGAACACTCCGGTCACATCCACCACCATTGCTCAATGGACAAGCAAAGATCCGGTGCTGTAACTTGTTCTCAAGTACGTCCAAGAAGTTTGGCCGGACAACACCCCCGTGGATTATCAAGCATATTCCCGTCGCCGTAATGAGCTTTAAGTGATAAGTGGCTGTCTTTTGCTGGGCTCACGTGTTATTATTCCCCCAAGAGGCCGTGAGACGCTCCTGGAAGAATTACATGAAGGTCACTCGGGCATAACCCGGATGAAAGCCCACGCCCGCAGCTACATCTGGTGGCCATCTATTGACGACGAGATAGAGCTCAAGGTCAAGAGCTGCCAACCGTGCCAATCCATTCAGAAGTCACCAGCCCTTCAGCCGCTACATCCCTGGGAATGGCCAGGTAAACCATGGGTGCGTCTGCATGTCGATTACGCAAGTCCAGTTGAGGGGAAGATGCTCCTGGTTATCGTTGACAGTTTCAGTAAGTTTATTGAAGTCTGAAGAAGGGCTGAGGCTTCCTGCAGCTTCATCTGTGAAAAGAATTCGGGTGGACACACCCATTCCCATAGCGCTGCACATCACATCCGAACCAGTTCCGTTATTTTTTTATTGAAGTCCACCCGGTATCATCTGCAACCTCGGCTTCCACTATTGCCAAGCTCCGTCAGACATTTGCAGCGCACGGACTGCCACTTCAAATTGTTTCCGACAATGGCTCAGTATTTACCAGCGAAGAATTTCAACGATTCTGTTCTGCTACTGGTATCAGGCATACCCGCTCATCTCCGTACCACCCAGCAAGCAACGGTCTAGCTGAGCATGTTGTACAAACCGTCAAGAATGCGCTGAAGAAGTCTGTTGGTGGTTTTGATTTGGAATCCCGTCTGTATTGGTTCCTGTTTCAGTATCGCTTTACGCCACAATCAACTACTGGTCAATCTCCATTTAAACTCATGATGGATCATAAGCCTCGGTCCCGTCTTGACCTCACATTTCCGGACTCTTCTAAGAAGGTTTTCAGCCGACAGCAAGCAGCCGTAGACCGCCGCCCGGCTCACTCGTCGTCGTTCTGCTGTGGCGACCCTGTATCCTGTGTCAACTTTGCTGGCTCACCTAAATGGATGGATGGAGTTCTTGAAGAGTGTCAAGGCCCAACCACATTTACTGTGCGCCTACCCAATGGCAGATTGTGGAAACGGCACAGTGACCACATCTGCCCACGATTGCCGGCCGAGGAGCCACCTGTTGCTCCGCCAGAACAGGCAACGACCGCATGTCCAGCTGCTGTTCCATCTCGTCAACCTCTGAACCGTCCAGTGTCGACATCATCTGTGCCGGATTCAGACGCAACCGAACTACAGCCTTCAGTTGATTCTGTGCCAACAGTCGTATCTGCCTCACCAGTTCCTCCAGCACCGGAATCAGTCACGCTTCCAGAGTCGCAGTCAGCTGGGTCGACTCCTGCTATTCATGAGTCACTCAACTAGAGCTGTTTAGGCGCCCGTCCGTTTGAACTTGTAACAGTTCTATCATATCTACTCAGAGATAGATCTGCTGTCTTATTTATGTGTTTACAGCTATATTTCGCCATGTCTTGTGTTACTGTTTCTACAAGTGATTTGTTAAATTTTGTTATTGTTTACTTAGTCTTTGTTTCATCTAGGGTGGGAGGGATGTGATATCCATGTACATCTCTTATGTGTTGACGTCACCAAGACGTCACTAGGACTCTGCATGCACGCAGGCCAACCTGTGCTGCCTTGCCCATTTGTTGTTGTTCTGTCTTGCGAGTCCCTGAAGTGACTTCCTCTTTGTTGGCTTATGAAATAGAACTATACATACGGGTAACATCCTAGTCTCAGTCTGAGTTGTAATGGATACAGTGTTACGCTTTGCTTTACCTCCTTATGCAATTAGGATTATATCCATAGCATCTCACCTTCAAGTGGTCCACCACCAGGTAATTGTGCATGAGCACAGAGCATAATGCTCAGGCACAGCAGCAGAACAGTTACACGTCTGGTGGAGACTAGAACCATATTCGCCTTCTTCTTCCCAAGAGATGGGCCAGATAATTATGGTTCTGGGAGGATGCCGTCACTGGCTGTAGTGTGTAGAAACATAAAAGAAGTGACAATGTTATAGCAATGAATAACATAATGTGTGTGATCCGCGCTTGGAACACTCACTTCCAACTATTCCCACCTCCCTGATAGTTGTAAAGTCCTTTTGTACCGTTGCTACATTTTGCCTCTGTTCGACTACGCCGACACTGCATGGTGTGGTCTAAATTCAACTTTGTCCACTAAACTTGGAACAAATCATAGAAAGACTTTCAAACGGATATTTGGACTGCTCCAGTTATTTAGCTGTGCCCAATTAATGGCAATTATATGCTCGGACCGCCTTATCTCCGCTCTGTGAGCGCAGCCAAGACCATTTATGTACCCTTGCTCATAAAATGTATACTAAACGAATTCCCCAACACTTGGGAAAGTATGACTGGTTCCAGTGTCATAGACCTACTCGAAATCAAGTATCTTTGCCTGTTCCTCGTTTTTCTTTAGTTCTTAACTCACCATTGTTTATGGCATAATTATCGCTTTTGGCACTCCCTTACCTATAGTATTCGTTGTGCTGAGATACTTTCCGCTTTCAAGAATGCTCTTCGAAAGTAATGCTCTAAATATAATTTGCAAATAATCGACGTGGAGACAACAATTTTATAATAGCAATAAAAAGAACAAATTCTGCAGTCATCGCCACACTACAACGAAGTCATGAAAGTTTACCAGAATTAATTTTCTTGTCACATTCATCAGTGGAAAGTCGTGACTGAAGAGTAACCATGCTGAACAATGATTAAATATACATTCAATGATGTGTTACGAGAACAAACTACAGTGCCAAAATAGAAAGAGGGAAGGTGAGACAATAGCAGTGAAGTGAGAGCTAAGTGCAACGGTGGGTGAAAAACTAATAATTATAACGCTAAAACTGTGTAGTGAGACAAACAATCATGCTGTGCACCTACGAAAACAATTTTAACGCAACTACATGTTTCTTCTGCTTACAAAGATCAGGCTTATGCAAACGAATACAAACAGCCTCAAGTACTTTCAACTGACTAGCATACCGTGCACGACAAAGAACAGAAAAACTAAAATCATCATACACCTGCAGACACTTAGGGTGAGACAACAAGTGAAGAAAAACGGCAGACTTCTTACGATCACAATCACCATCTGATTCCTCGTCTCCAACAACCGCAACCTCGTCCTCCGTTTCATCTCCCAACTCGTCCTCAGTGTCGTCCTCCGTGTCATTCTCCTCATCAACACTGATCGGTCCCAGGCTCGTTTGACGTTGTTTAACCTCTGTTCGTTGACTCCTCCTTTGATCTTGATGGCAACTTGTTACCATTGTTGTTGTTGTTGTTGTTGTTGTTGTTGTTGTTGTTGTTGTTAAATCTTGTGTTCCCAGTGTCCTCGCCGGTGCTTGATCTCCAGTACTGTAATAATTCATTGAATAATTAGCCGTTGATCGTCTAGGTCTTTGAATGTTGATTGTGTTACTTTCTTTGTTGAATTCCGTTCCCTTCAGCCTTCTTTCTCGTTGTTCACAATCAGTGCTTGCCTCATCCATATATGCACGTGCCACCGACACCACAGACTCAGCCCCAGCACCGCCGATGATAGATGTAGGTGGCGGTTCTGGGGGAGGCAACGGCAAAGACGGCGATGAGGGCATTACCTCATCACAGCGTCCACTTTGGTCTTGAGCTGAATGTTGTTGTGGTGTGTTATCTTGTGTTGTTATGGTGCATTGTGTTGTGGTGACAATATGCCCATTACCCGACTCCAAGACTCTCGATACGGGTAATGGAGGCACTATTGCCGATGACGGAAATTGTGCTAACGATGGCTGTGGCCGAGGGTTCTTCAGTGGCCTGCCGCGTTTTGGTCGCAGTGCCCGTGCCGAGCCAGTCAGCATATGCAGTGGGACGTGCTGCTTGATACGTGCGTTCAGATGTTGAAGAGTCCTACCAACGTACCGACTACCGCATTGTCGGCACTCAAATTGGTATACCAATTTAGATGCAAGTTGGGTTGGTAGGACATCCTTCCTCACCGTGAACGCACGTACAGTTGTGAAAACGGGTACAAAATGTACCGCGTAGTAAGTTTGCTGTACAATTTTCCGTACCAAGCGACTCATGGATAATGAGAGGTTACCTTTCCAGGGGAGAGAAAGATACGTGGGACATTTGTCCGGGCCAAAACGTTTTTCCTTTTTATCCAGCCTTTCGCTCATGAGTTCCTTCAATAGATCGTCAGGGTACCCGTTCTTTAGAAAAACGGACTTAAGGAAGTCTAGTTCCTCAGCTAGTTTGGAAGAGGAGCAAATACGTTCTGCTCGATCCACCAAGTTACGCACTAAATTCACCTTGTATTGGTACGAACAATACGAGTCAAACATTATGTACTGGCCGGTGAATGTAGGCTTTCTGTACACAGATGTTACGGTACCCTGACTAGACTTTTCCACAAGGACGTCTAGAAAGGGAAGTTTGTTGGCTTGTTCGTGTTCACACGTAAAACGTATGGAAGGATGTAGGTCATTTAGAATACCAAGAAAGATTTGGCTATCTTCAAGAGAATCAAACCAGGTGAAGGAATCATCAACAAAACGAACGTACAATGCTGGCCACAACTGTTCTGCAATCAGTGACTCGCAGTAACCAACGAACACATTCGCTAAAACTGGACCCAATGGAGAGCCCATGGCTACCCCATCAACCTGCCTGTACATAATGTCACCGAAGGAAAACTCCACACCAGTCGTCACGAGCAACATCAGTTCCCGGAACGCCGTCTCCGATATCCATGGCGGGTCAACTTCATCATTTCGGTACAACACATCTAGGCAAATATTGATAGTCTCTTCTAACGGGACGTTCGTGAACAGACTAACAACATCAAAAGAGCACATATGCGCGGAGGCCGGAACCGGGTGGGAGCGAAGGACGTCAATGAATTCGAAGGTGTCTTTAACTGTATGTTTGCAATAGAACGTTTGCACGATGTCAAGCCAACCACACAGCCATTTAGAGATATTATATTGTGGTGATGCAACCATGGATAATATGGGGCGCAACGGACAGTTCGGTTTATGTATTTTTGGTAGCCCATAGAGACGTAGAGATTGGGGGAGGGTTGAAATCAACCCGGGGCGAGAAATCGTACTAACGTACTTCTGTGCGTTTCTCGCGCCGGGTTTGAATAGCACTGCACATGCAAATAATTTTTAAGATTTGTCGAAAAATCGCTAACCTTGTCGCCGATTTTGGATGGCTCCAATGAGAATCGACGAAAATCTACCAAATTTTGTTGCAAAGTGCGTTTACGAACGAATGATGTTGCTGCAAGCATGACCGCTCGAGCTCTCTACTTCAGTACTTGTAGAACTAGTGCGTTGAGGTCGTGTGACTCGTGTCCTTTGACCTCCTCTCAAACCAACATTAGCCATTCGGAAGAACGATACTAATAAAATACTAGAATTTTTATGGCAATAAATAAGATAAATTGTGCACTCATAACAACAGCAAAAATGAAAAAAGTTAAGTTCCATAACGTTTTCTTGTGACTTTCATCAGTGGAATGGCGTCACATAAAAATGTAATAAATCAAACACACACTTATATACATGTAGCTAAGTTTGCACCTTTGCAATGTGTGAATATAGTGTATGTGAGAAAGGTAGTGGCAGATGAATGTGATACTGTGTGAATGAATGTAATGGTGCGTGTGTATTACTTGAAGAGTGTGAGTGATACACATTTTTCTTTCCGTTTACATAGCACAGGGTCACGATTACGAATATACACAGCTTCCAACACCTGCAATTGCTTGAAGAAACGTGCGCAACGAATAACACTAAACCAGGAAGCTGGAAGCTGGAAGCTTCCTGGAAGCTGGAAGCTGTGTATATTCGTACTCGTGACCCTGTGCTATGTAAACAGAAAGAAAACGTTGTAAAAAATGTATTAGCAAAGTACACGCTTGGTTCAGCATCAGTGTAATACTCTGAAATGCACATGCATGATACGCAAGCAATTTGCAAACTGCATTTGTTTGGACAAGACTAGCATACAGGGAAAGTATATGGCTGGGTCAGTTGACCTGAGAAAGCTGCATGTGGTTCTCAAAGCCAGCTAGCTACTCAGTAACTGGAGACTGATGAACACCATCATCTATGTAATTGTCACTGGATTCCATCGGACTGAAATCATGCATTGCCAGATACTGTATGGTATAGAAATGTTGTCTCTTTGACAAGAAACTCAAACAAATCATGATAGTAGAAAATGATCCACATAGTAACTCCCTCGTGTGTTTTCTGGTGGAGGAGTCGCCAAACAAGGCTGCTTTAAAAAAGTAGCCTGATCACACAGGATCATCATAGAAAAAATCTGTCTGAACCGGATGACATTGGGCAATAATGCCTGTGCAAAATTGTCCACATCATGCATATATTGGTACACCGCAACTTTATACCCGCAAGCATTTCGTTTAGTGTCTTGTCTTCCAATGCTGCGTTCTCGTCCATGCGTGTGCCAGCAGCGCTATGGCTCCAAGACCTGCGCAGTACGGTTTAGACAAATTTGGTGATGTGTTGAGACGTAGGTTGTCAGATTTCAACCCGCCATGTATACAAAATGAATGGCGCGTTTACATGACGCATTGCGCTAGACCCGGGTTGAAATTTCACCCCCAAGGGGAGGGTTGAAATCAACCCGGGGCGAGATTGGGGGAGGGTTGAAATCAACCCGGGGCGAGAAATCGTACTAACGTACTTTTGTGCGTATCTCGCGCCAGGTTTGAATAGCACTGCACATGCAAATAATTTTTAAAATATTGCGCGAAAGTATTCACGTGACCATACAGGACTATCGTACAGACTTTCAACCCACTTTCAACCCGGGCTGAACTCGACCCAGGTTGAAAATTCTCACACAGCCTATTTACTTACCAAGAGTACAGCCAATACACGGATGGGTGGGTGACCCAAGCACGGAAAGAGACTGGGGCGTTAGAAGTCATCACACAAACCCTGCGACACTGCGTGGCCTTACCTGAGGGCAGTTTGCAAAGCGCCGTCAACTGTTTGTCTGGAATCCCCAAATTGTACGAAGAACAGATAGGCCGTGACTGCAGCCACAAAGCTGAAAACCCATCAACAGCACACAGGGTGGCGTCCGAAAGTCAAGTAAATTGTTATCCTATTTGAGTGATGCATCCTCAGCGACGCGTTGTCGTTGTAACGAAGACACAATGGAACTCATGTAGCTCGGACTCAGAGATCGAGAGCGAGCAAAAACTCGCATTATTTGATTTGTCAGCCACGAAATGTTGGCTCGTGCTGCGTAGCGCTGGACTGCTTGTTTCATGCATGCAGGGTGTGTTTGTGTACGTGTGCGATCCCAGGAGTCAGCGTGCAGCAAGCAAGATGGTCTGACTCACTGGTTCTCACAACCGCACCTCACACGGCAACGTACTTTTCACTGTTCCTCGTTACACTCACATAATAATATTATGACACATTGCGTCAGTCTCTTAGTTTCCACCTGTCAATGTCGCGCGTATCCATAAGTATAGGATATTGCACGGTTCCGAGGGGATTATTTTTCAAATCCCCAAGGCACGCAGCGCCGCGGGGATTATGAAAAATAATCCTCGGGGACACTGTGCAATATCCTGTATAGACCACACTTTTCGGGTGATCAGCATGCAGCGCAGCGCTGCTGCAGCAGCAGCATGAACCAGTACATGTGCAGTGCGAACGGAACACTGAAGGACGCTCGTCGTCTCTCCGGGTTTACATGTAGATCCACTTGTTGGTTTTGACTGAGGCCGCTGGCGAGTGCGGAATGTCACACACAATCTTTGGTTAGTCTCCCAAGACGAAGCCTCATGAAGTCCGCTGCTTGTTGGTAGCTGACAAGACCGTGAGAAAAGGCGGTGCTGATTGTGATCAAGTCAAGACAACGAAATACTGTAGTAGTAGATATTGTAATCAGAATTTTGAAAATAATTTGAGGTGCTTTGTTCGTCTGACACCAATTACATATGCTGCGTGGATCGTGGAGGCGATTTATTCCCAGTACAAATCAAAGACTACAATGAAGAATTGTCAGACACTGACGTCCGTCCTATGGCTTAGTCTAATGTTGTAAGACTAAGAGTACCCGAAATGGTTTGTGATCGTGTGGAACAAATTTGACAAGACCAGTGAAGCGTGAATGCCACATGTAGAACCAATGACATTGAGTTTAGTGGCAAGGCACAGTAGAATGCTGGCTTGATACGATAACGGGACTGTAAGACCTTTAGACAACACGGTCTAACCACAATTCAAAACAAAGCAACAACCACTCAACCTGGGAGGCTCAATTTTATCAAGGATAAGAAATTCCCCTCTTTGGAATTTTCACAAATATCCATGAACATTCCAAGTTGGAAGACCGTTGGTTTAGCGCTATGGAGAAGTGCTCAAGCTCACTTCCTTGCTGTGGAATGTCTCAGTACTCCTAGTCAGTCTGGTTCTACCTTGTGCTGACTGGTCAAAACCTGGATTAGTTGGTGGACTTTAACGCAGAACTTGTGCCCCACCGTTTTCCTTGTTTCCATTTAATATTTTCCTTGGCTCTCCATCTGAGTACAGTAGGTATCGGTTATAGCGTGGGCGTTTGAAAAACGACTTTCTATTCTTTTTTCCGATATTTCTTACACACGATAAATCAAGTGTGGTATAATCACATTCATGTGTGCAGGGGCAGGAAGATCATCGTAGATCTACATGCAACGCAGTACTTCTGTGCATGTGGCTGGTCAGAGTCCCATACTCGCCATAGGCTTGCCATGATCGTGGCTATGCAAAATGAGTTACATGACCCAACAGTTGAATGAAGTGACGACGCAACGAGAGTCAGATCAGAACGGAATTGGACAGATGTTATTACTACGGGCGATACACTTTGTACTAATCTGGCATGTTTCGCTACACAAAGTCCGTTCTTAGGACCGATATAATCTACTATGGGATAAAATTGCTTGTAAGAATAAATGTGCACTTGAAATCCATGTTATGATTACGAAAACATGAGAAATCATTCTTGTTGGCAGTATATTCTTTTACACGACCACGCTATAACCGATACGCACTGTACTTAGTATACAACACTAATTACTGGCATGCACTTCAAACCAAGGAAGCCACCCCACCACATGCGCTCTCTGGCCGACCGCATCACAAAAGCAACATGATTCCAAGTTGTAGTAATGTATATACTGACAAACACACATGACCCAGAGCATCACGCATCATTCGTTGCAACTAATCCTAGTTTCATGCCCATAGGCAATCATCAGACAATGATGGGCCTATGGCCATGGAACTACTAGTTGCAACAAATGATGCGTGGTGCTCTGTGTCGTGTGTAAGATAGGTCTATTCGAATGAGTATAGAGCACTCTACCGAGCCGGATGACTCTCATTTGTGATACTGACAAAATGTAATTTCCTCCATACAGCGCTGTTTCGACCACTAAGGCCTCATCAGTGAAGGTTGAAAAAAATGAACGGGTGGAATTAATTTGGAAGCACAGTTTTATACGCAGAATGAAATGAAGAACAAGAAGCGCGATCCAGTGCTTCCAGCGAGGTATTAACAGACAGAAAACACACGGGGAGAAAAGGTGCAAAATAACACTGCTACACGCCATAAGTGTACTGAGGATATCAATGAATGGCTGGAATTAATTTGGAAGCACAGTTTTATACGCAGAATGAAATGAAGAACAGGAAGCGCGATCCAGTGTTTAGAGGTATTAAGAGACAGAAAACACACGGAGAGAAAAGGTGCAAAATGACACTGCTACGCGCCATAAGTGTACTGAGGATACCATTTGAGTACAATGTACCTCAAACCAACGAGTCTGGTGGCAATGGAGGTTGTGCGAATGAATAACAATAATCTATATTTCAAGATTACCCAATCTGTGGGGATCTCGTGTTTGTGTACCGGTATGTACAATTATCATTGTACTGAAGTAGTTGGGAAAAGAAGAAAAAAAGTGTGCAAAGTAAGTTCTGAAAAGATAGATGCTGCACAAAAGATACAGTGACAGAACAAGCATTTAAATCAATGATTACACATTAGAGGTAATCACGCAATGGTTGTAAATCAGCGGAACGGCTTATGGGCACTGAGTGTACAGCCTGAGTCGGCGGTTTCGCTTGAGCTAGAGGTGCATCGCTGTGCCGCGACTTTTCTTGCCACAGCATCTCAACTGAAGATGTAATTGGATAAACTCTACAGATCTAGCCACGATCTGGCATAAGTGCATACACCAACCAACTAGCTGCAGCACAATCACAACCTCCACACCACAAAGTCACATGCAGACTCACACGCAGACCCACATCCACACACATTCACACTCACAAAGCCACATGCAGACCCACACGCAGACCCACACCCACACACATTCACACTCACACTCCACAACCGCACCTACTTCAGTACAAACCCACACCCACACACCAAACACACACTAGCATGCCGGCGTGGACAAACACACACGAGTACCTACTCGTCCACTCACTCAAATACATATCCACCACTTGTGTATGTGTGTCTCGATTTCTCTCTCTCTCTCATCTCACCATATTACAACAAATCTGCAACAGTGCCATATGCATGGAGGTGACACCACTGCTAGCATTGTTCTGATTGAGAGCCTCATATGTGTGACCCGTTGCAACAGTGGACGTATCATGCTCTCCTGGGCTTCCTTCAGCTCCGCCAAGAGGGACCATGTTCAAATAGGCGTAAGATGGATTTTTTGCCGCTCCTGTTTGCAATGGACTTGATTGAGCTCCAGTTATGTCTAATGGGGTATTTGTTGCATTCCTGTTCTAAGATGCCTCAGCATAGAGTTGCTCAGGAACAGTCGCAGTGATTCCGTACGCTTCATTTGCCACCAGCTCGTCTGACGGTATCAGGCGTGGGTGCTGTGCAGTAGATGGATCCACCTCATTTTTTCTCACAGCTGCAGACCTTGATGGGGCTTCATTTGTGTTTACTGAGGTATTTGTTGCATTCCCGCTCTCAGATGTCTCAGCATAGAGTTGCTCAGGAACAGCCGCAGTGATTCCGTACGCTTCATTTGCCACCAGCTCGTGTGACGATATCAGGCGTGGGTGCTGTGCAGTAGATGGATCCACCACATTTTTTCTCACAGCTGCAGACCTATGTTGAGATTGATGTCTTGTAGCTCTGATGACTATGATCATCATGAAAATGATGACACAAATGGCCAGCCCCAACGCGGCAGAAAGCGCTATTACTGGAGTATCACTCACTTTGGCATCTTCTGGAGATGCCAGTGAATCACCTGCAGATAGACGAAGTTCAATATTAAAAGGAGAGGAGAAGGACAAATGAGTATGAGTTATAAGTAAAACAGTTTGCCAATTTACCTAGATAACGTTAATGCTGTCCGAATGTACAACAACTAGGCACAAAACTAAAACGGTACTAATCACACTACTAACACATTAAATGACTTGGCTCCTGGTTTCATTACACCTCCAATGCGCTGCCGACGCATTTCGATTGTTACTGGACGATGCGGAGACCAGCAAGGTGACTTTCTTGGAGACAGAAAGCTATTAAGGGGAAGAAAAACTCAAAGTTCAAGCTCTACCACCAACTTCAAGACTCAAGAATTTCACTAGGGAGGTTTAGCTCGCCGAATTACGTATGAAAATAACGTAGGAACAGCATGTCATTTTTATACGTAAAAATCAGTGCTGTTGGGTTCACTGTACATGATTTCCCCATGACTGCAGCATGCCTTGTTGCTTTGGAGACGCGTTGGCTGCATGCGCCCACCGCATGCACCACGAACCGAAACCGCGCTTTCCATTTTGTTTTCCATGTGGTGTGTACCTTGTGTTTCGCGCGGCTTGAACATTGCCATGAATAAATCCGGAAAGTGCGAAATATATTTAAGTCCTATGGAGGACCCGAAATCCAGTATCCGCTGAGCTCTCGCCCTGTGAACCACGTCGTTGCCGTTTCCTCACATTTCTCGTGACGTCACATTCAGTATCCACTGAGCTCTCGTCATGTCCTGAGCGTACATCGTCAGTAGCCGTTCCCTCACGTTTCAGTCGATGTACGTCGCATCGTTCCATTGCTCTTCTCCTGAGCCAAGCGCGTCTTCGGTCCCCTCACGTCGTTCCATTGCTCTACTCCTGAGCCAAGCGCGTCTTCGGTCCCCTC